CCCGGCCGGCGCTCTGCACTTGACTTGCGGCCGCCGAAGGGCTCCGTCCCGCTGGGCTCCGTCCCGCTGCGCTCTCCGCGGGCGCTGCGGACCCCTGCCCTGTGCAGAGCGACCCACGCATCGCTGCCAGCGGCTCCTCGGGAGCTTCGACTTCAGTGCTGGTTGGTTTTGGGTTTTTTTTTTTTTTAATCAGACAGGCTTATAAAAAGGGAAAGGAAATCAGTCAAAAAGCAGAGGCCTCAGACCCGCAAGCTGTTGTTCCCATGACTCTGGGGAAGATTTTCAAAAGTACATAATGAGTTTGGGAGCTCCGTTCCCACTGACTTTCAAAATCTTCCCTCCACGTCTGTGAGCTAGTCCTCTTAAACCCGGTTGGACTGCTTGCAGACGAACGTTAGCAGGCTCAGGGCCTAATGCTTCTCACGATTCCACTGCTCCCTCCCAGGGCTGCACTGACAAAGATATAAGCAGAACAAGTTTTGAAGGGAGAGCTAATTTCTCTTTCTTTCTTTTATTTTTTTCTTCTTTTCTTTTTCTTAACCAACTGACAGTTGAAAACAGCAAGCTTCTGGGCTCAAAAAGCTTAGACCATCATGGCTACGAAAACTGCTGCTACTCAGAAAATACGTAATTCTGGAGCTCCTTAGTGAAAAAGTAGTGCAAGGCAACATGTAAGTAATCACATCGCCAATATTATACATTTATGTTGTTATATTGTCCTCGTATTTGAAGTTCAGTATTGCTAAAGAAACTGATTCCTATTTTTTTTAACCAAGTGTTCAGTGAAAATTAGCCAGAGGAAAAGAACTTCAGTTCATAATCCCTTTCTGTTAAAAAAGAGGAAATATAAATGATTTGCAGTGTATTTATATTTTTGTTCTTATTTTTTTTTAAATTGCCATGAGCCAAATTTTCAAAAAGTGTGCCTTTCAACCGAAAAGAAAGATAGTAAATGCTTTCTAATATTTTTTTTTCTGAAGGTAATGTGCCTGTGAAAAGAGGACTTTGCAGTAGAAGTAACAATGAAAACAGTAAAGAAAAATATAAAACTATGATGTTGCTGATACTGCTTCTCTATACATTAAACTGTTTATAGTTCTGCCCTAAAATAATTCTAGTTATTATTTTTCACCCTTTTTTCTGACCCTAATATAAGATATGGGAGATAGTATGTCACCTTGTTTAACACGATATGGTATTCTCTTATATGAATCACAGTATTGTCCTTCCAGAGGTCATTCCTAAGGTTTCATTAAGATCTGTAACGAAAGTGAAGTCTTTACATCCCCTAATATCTAATACTTGCTCTCAGATTTCATACCTCATGCACATAGGCCCCAGACCTGTACAGCCTGAAATGTATGTTGTGATGTGTAAGCTCACTGACTAGTTCTCTTCATTATTATGCTCTTGTATTTTGGACCTAAGAAGCTAATAGTGATGTTACACCATCATTATTGTCAGTATTACTTAGGACTGCACAAAACATAAACCTAAGGTAATAGTCTTGATTTACATCTTCCATTCATCTCTCTTCAGTTAAATAATGCACAATTATAATAATTTAAGGATTGGAATGGGTAAATATTTGACTGAGCATCAGAATGACTGAGAAAGGCAATTGCTATAGTCTAAAAATCCATGTAATAAGAGGTGGGTATTGCATTCTCTGGCTGTAGCATCTGGGAGAGGATCATCAGTTTGTTTCCTCAGTGACTAGTGAAGCCAAAAAGTCACAGCAGGAACACAGCTGAGGACAGAAGGGAGAGAAAGGGATTTTGAGCCTCACCAAAAGTGATGTCAGTTCTTTAGATCAGATTTCCATTCCAAACAGCTTGGGCTCATCAGAACGGTGGAAGTCTTACCTGCTGTGGGAGCAAATGGGAGGTTAAGCTGCAGTTTCTATCTTGCCTCATACAGTTCTTGTTACGGCACTGGCTGAACACCTTCTAGTAGTAGCGCCTGTCCTCTGTTACAGATTCTTCTCCTCAGAGAGCATCATTACACTGCCAGAGAATCTCCTCATACTGCAATAAGTGACATGGCCAGCCTTTGTCATATTATCCGCCCTCTTGTTGCCAGAGGAAGGAGCATGCGCAGTTGAATGTTTTCAGTTTAGTTTATCTGTCTTTTCTTCCATAAGTGTGTTAGGTGTTTGTATTGGTGAGCAAGGTCGAAGTAATGTGGTTTTTCTTCAAGCAAAATGTAGTTAGGTTTCTGATGGCCCTTAGCTTCTAGGCACATTCATTCCATGGATTTGCACCGGCCTCGAGAAAGTTGTGTCTCTAGAAATGATAGTCTTTTTTTTTTTTCCCCCTTGCAGCACAAGCTCTCTTAAGTCAGAAGAGGGAAACTGTCGACAACTGATCCAGTGTAGAAACCCAGTAGGCATTTATTTAGGAATCCTGGATTTAGGACCTGGAGGATCTTGGAACCCTGAATTTATAATTTAAACTTCTATAGAAAATGAGCATAGAGTGGAAGAGAGGGACATAAAATAACCCACATACTTGAGATGACATCCCCCCCAGCTTCCTGTATTCTGAGTTTCCTCACACTTGGATATACTGAATTGCCTAGGCCCCCGTGGGAGGTGGCAAACCCCAAGCATATCTGCCAAAATGGCACAGAAGCTCATAGCTAGTCAGGGACGATTTGAAAGCTGGAGGCTGTCTCTGACTCAGGCACACATTACTTTACAAATTACCTTGCTATATGTTTCTAAGATTTATTTTACGACTATGAGGATTAGAGGCATTTGCTGTAATGAAAACTGGCATTGTGTCATTACTGGGTAATTTTTTAGGTAGGTTCTTAGACTTGCCTGAGTACTTGCATGTTATTCAATTACCTTCATCTGGTCCAGTTCCTAGGTAAGTTAGACCAGTTGGAGGGCACCAAGATACACCCACATGTAGTAATTATAATAATATTTTCGGTAATTTCACATCTGCATATTATTTTGGTATTCTGTGTTTGTATGGCGTATGGACGTACAGCCAGTGGGAATTCCAAATTTTTTTCTACTTACTTTTCTAATTTGAGCTCTGCCTTGCCCCCAATGCCTGTCCAGCCTTCTAGATCCCTGTTATAGATCCATCTAAGTCTCCCTTCAGACCTCTTGTGTAAATTTGATATCAGCTGAAGTTTAAAATTTCAGTTTAATAACCTAGTAACTGTAGTTGAACATCCTCTTTCATGTATGAGTTTTACTTCCTTCCGTAGCCGTTCAGGCTCTGATTTATCCTGACAAATAGAGGATTTGGAATTCATTACTTTTGCAATTTCAGTCTGCTAGCAATGATAGAGGTTGTAATCTAGAAAGGGCTGGACAGCATTCACGTCTGTACAGTGAAAACAGAGTCCTGAATTTGCTAGTATATACCTGATCTGGGGATGCTTCTGTAGGCAGTAAGGACTGCAAGAAGTATGTGCTGGCTTAGGACTTGCATGTATTTTATTAGATTTCCTATAAACTTCCAGATTAATAAAAACCCCCAAACCCACCTAGCATTTTTACTGTACACTACCTCCTGATTTTTCAATAGCCAACTTTCAATCATTTAGTTTTCAGCCTCTAAAATATTCAACGTAGCATAAAGACTAATGGTGTAGTCAGAATATTGGATTTACTGTATTTCATTCAGATCTTGTAAGATTGGCTTTAACATAGCTATAGGCCAGACTCAAAATAATGAACGTATCCCTGAGGATTTAAGAAAGATTTGTTACTAAACTTAGGTTTCATGGTAAACTTTTGCTAAAACGGCCTAACTGTAACTTTTACATGTTTTAATATTTTTGTGGATTTAATGGTTGTGAAAAGTGCTGGCTTGGTATCTGTGAAAACTGAAGCCTATTCTTTATTCATGGATTAATTACAGCAGAGCAGATGCCAAGTGATCTTCTCCACAGCACCCATGAACTTCAGCCTTGAACTGAAGAGGACTCATCAAATGGTGAGAAAATAGTGTGGTTGTCATGACTATTAAGTTATGGAGGCAATGCTCTAGTGTTTTTTCTTTTTCCTAGCATTGATACTGTTAGGTATTGAAATTAGATTTTTGTAGGGTAATTGCTGGGACCATAACCTAATTTCTCCCCTTCCCCCAGTACTTCAGCTGTTAATTTCTAAAGCTTTGCCATCTTCTTAGCTGTAGTTCGTTGACTTTTCAAAAATAATTTAGTGCTACACTGAAATCATTAGCGAATTTCTTTATTACTTGCTTTAGCCTTAGTCCTGTGCATGTGCTTAACTCTGTTCACATGAGGAGTTTTATCAGTAGCACTGCTTAGAGGAGTGAAGTTTATAAGAGGTGTGGAATTGTTTGAAAGATTGAAGTTCAAACGCTGCCGATACGTCTGCCTGCATTTAAATGAAATGTTGCTGAAATTAATGCAAGAGTGAGTGATGTGGAAATGCAGTATCTAGTACTAATTTGTTTGCTTTTATGCCATTCAATTTATTTCTTTTAAGACAGCCTGATGTAAGTTTTTCATTTGCTTCTCTAGTTTCCCAATTTCTGGGAAATTCTGAAATCTGAGCTTCAAAACATTTATACAATTTTAGTAATTCTCATAATTCTCCTGAGAAGAGCAAAACGTTATTGTATTTAACCATTTTATGAGAAGTGACTGGATCTATAGAGGAACTAATTCTGTCTTTAACTCAATGCCTTAATCAGGTCTTTAATCCTACTCTGGTGTCCTACCTTCCTTAAGTAATGATTCTTATGTGTATGGATTTATTAAGTATACATCTTAAACCAGGGAGTTCCCCTTTTTACAGCTATAGATAAAGGGTGGCATATTGGTAGCAGGGGGTTGTGTGTGTAAGAATACAACTGTTGAGTGTTGATATTCACTTCCTGTTCATCTAGTGACAGCTTAAAACAAGGGTGCAAATAATGATCCATAGTTCAGGAGACTGATCACAATGATCAGAAGTTCACAGGATCCTGAGAGATGCCCTAGACCTTTATTGGTATCTCAAAAAATGGCTCAATTTTTGTTTTTCTTTAGTAACTGTGTTGTAGAGTAAGGAGTAAAAGGGACAGAACTCTACTAGTGGCTTATGATTTCCACATTTTCTCCTATCTCTATGGTTGTTACCGTAGAGATTGGAATACAGGATATTAACCCTCTCCCAGCTATTTATCCAATTGGGTTTGGAAAAATTAGTGTGTTTAAATAGGTGGAAGAGATGGTGAGCCCTTTATGCCAATAACTGAACTGCACCCTGTGTTAAGAATTACTTAAGTACTGTTATCAACCACTGAACTAATTTAACTTTTGTAATGTTGTTTACCATTTTGTGTATTAAAAATAAGATTTAAGACTTAAGCCAGAAGGAAGCAGTAATTTTCAGGCAGAGTGCATTGAGGTATAATGCAGAGGTCATTGATTTTTAACAGAGATTCACCAATCTGCTGCTTTTTTCTTTCTCAGTCACTGAGAAAGTCACTTTTTTCTTTCTCAGTCAATAGTTTTCTATTTGAGACCTGATTGTTGAAACAACTTTAAACAATTATTTACATTCTGCTTCACCACCTTTTAATCTTGTACTTAAGTCACAATACTTCCATGAGTATGGCTTTGGAGAGGAGAGTTTGAATCCACATTAGTCCCTTGCACCTTGTATTTGACTTTGCCTGTCTGATAACCAATAGGCTGGATCCAGACTAGAGCTAAAGTGTGAGTCTGCATGGGGCTCAGAATGGAATGTGCGCTCGATACTACAGACATAGCGACGATTACAACGTGGTTTAAATTTGTTTCCAAATGTAAGCACTTCTTTAGTCATTTAGCTGAGCAGAGTTTAGGTACTCCATATGCTTAAGTTAAATGGTTCAAGTTAAGTGGCTTAAAGGTTTTCCTAAAGCATTTTTGGAATTGATGTAATTCTTTTACTTCAGTAGAAGAAGAGGTAGGCCGTTGTCAGTTTTGAAAAGCCCATTCTCATTGCTCTGCTAAGAAAACAATTTTGTTTCTTTTACTCCATCCCCTTTTTGGTTAAATCACATTCACTTCCCTGACTCTTGTTATAACCATTGTTTCCTGATAACCTTTCCTCTAATGTCCATTTTTCTATTAATTTTTCCACACTGACTATTCTTTATCTCTCTTCTCTTTACTGGAGTTTTAGAGAGGTCATTATCCTTTTTCAGTTTCTTTCCTACTTTCATCAGTTCCTGGAGTCCAACAACCAGTAAAACCCTCTGATTTCAACTATGCCTTCTTGGTGATAACCACACAAGTCAAAATGTAGATCAATAGAAAGGGCAGGCAGAGCAGTTGATAAAAAAGGGAACTGAGACTTGCATATTATTAAAATTAATTCCCTAAATTGGGACATTAATCCCAATCTGGATCCAGGCAGTAGGATGAGGATTTTAAGGTGATTCTTTAAAAATCACTATGCTTATTCTAAAAACCAACAACAACAAAAAAAACCCGACCCAACAAAAAATTCCACAAAAGAAAAGTCCAGGTATACTGAATAGATTCAGTAGACTTAATGTCACTGTTCTTTTATTGATCTACCTATCACTGAACTTCTCTTAAGTCTTAGGAGAGACATCATGGAATTGGAAGAGAAGCAGGAATCTCCATGAAGCGCAGTCAACTACAGTCTTGGTAAGTTCAAAAATACATAGATAAAATTTTATTTCTGTAATTTTCATCTTTGTGAAGCAACATGTATTTAGGGCCCTGTTCGCAGTGGCCAGTTTTATTGAAACAGTCTCTACACTCTCTGGATTCATTTATGCTCTCACCACGTAAAAATCTGTGTTCTGTTATAGCTGAGTTTGTGGTGTAACTCCTGAATGAAAACAATAAGTGACATAAAATTCATTAGTTATTTTCACAGTGATATGCTACAGTGTTTTCATGCCCAGTTTCTGAACAAAACAAGACATGCAGGATTGTGTTTTCTTTTGAATCCACCTCTTCATTTCAGCTGCATTTGATAGAGAGGTCACAAAGTCAAGTTTCTACAATTTGAGTGAAACTTAGCAGCTGGGAGTAGAAAAGGGACTCAAATTAGTGGCCCCAGGATAGAAAAACCTGCAGCACGGACTCAGAAATTTTCTGTTCTGTTCAACCTGCTGATTGGCAACTCAACATGCTTGGTTGGTCTGCCAGTCAGCGCCTCTGTAGCTCAGACCTAGCCACAGTGTGAACTGCCTCTTGTTCTCCTAGAAGTCAGAAGCTGGTGTTTTCTGCAGGAATTTAGGGAAATCTGTTTAGAAGGGAATGGGAAGCCAGCCAGGGTAGTGTCAGCCTGGGATTACAGCAGAAGTGTGTTGGTGGCACGTACAAGCACGCTGATAGGTAACTAGACTTCTGCTAGTCGTGAAAAAAACCTGTTTTTGCCAGGGCCTTCTAATCTCCCAAACCACTTGTGAATCATTCTTGTTTATGGTAGTTTCTATACCTGGATCAGATGTATGTTTTTCCTGTCCACCTCAGAGAAGGGAACTGTTGAGACATCATCAGTATTTCATTTCCTTGACTGTTTGGATGTCAGCTCTGAGCTATTCCTTAAGCTATCAAAATGGTAAAACTGTGTTTTCAGCTCTCCCCAGAAACTGACTGTAATTTAGACTGCAGCTACGTGTCCCTGACCCATCCTACAACCTACGCTCCTGGAGCAGTGCAGGAAACAATGCATTGTATTCCAATTAACTTCCTTTGTGTAGAAAGATGTGGAGCTAGGCACAGGGACAGAAAACAATATTAGTATCGAGTTACCACACTGCAGTGCAATTCGGGAAATGCTAAATCTGAAGCTGCATGATTATGGGCACGCAATTGGTCTGAAAGGTATGGGCTGTCCATTCTTCTCCGTTAGGGACAAATGGGCAGATTACCCTTGCCAGAGGTATTGGCTCACTCCCTTTGCAGGCTCAGGTAGGCAGCACTAACTTGGCAGATGTCAGATATTTTTAAATTTTCTGCGTCATGTTAGACAGGGTCAAGATATCTTGTAATACTTTTTAAACAGAACTTAGCACTGTAGTACTGTTCTTTAGAAACAGTTGTATTTCTCAAAGTAACAAGAGGCCTAAAGAGTCATGCATACGAAACATACAATTTAAAAGCAGTAACATGAGAAGAAACACTTCTAATTCAATATTGTAAGACAACTCCCTTGAAATTTGTCATAAAGTCTGAAATGTGTATTTTAAATTTTTTGTTTGTCCTCCTGCCTAGTTGAAAACCATCAACCTGGCAGCAAGGAACGAAAGACTCTGTTACCCTTCTCCCCATGGGCCTATTTTCATGTCTGTTGTTTCATGAAATCAAAGCCAGTAAGAAAAAAACTGGTCAATAAAAAATAAAATAAAAAAAAGATTGTATTCCAGTTATATGGAATTTTTGGTTCTTCTGTTAGATCCTTAAATCCTTTTCTTTGGCCCCCGCTTTTTTTTTTTTTTTTAAATATAATTGTTTCCCTAATGCTGTCTGTATTAAAGGAATGAAGAAATGTCTTCTGCATGTTCTTTATCACCAGTACTCTTGAACACCAGTTAAATATATTTCATGGAACCTATGGTTAACCTGTTTTTAAGTCGTTTATAATATATAAAACCATTGTAAATTACAATATTTTCCTTTTAAAGATCAACATAGATGTGTTTTTAATAAGAACAGTAGGGTCAAATCATTAATGTTAAGTTTTGTATGAATGGCAAAGTGGTGGTTTATTCTTGTTTGACTTGTTCTGTGCTTCCTGTGTTTTAAATAGTGTTCACTAAGAGCTTAAATGTAGCAAATAATTTATTATAGTTGATTTTCATAAGGATTTTTTGTTCAAAAAAGCTCACCCTTTTTTGCCTAAAAATGACTAATACTGAACTACTTTTTACCACGTATTTTCAAAGACCTTGGTCTTGGATGCTGCTCTGTGTGGTCAGATGCTTTTACAGTCATGAGGACATCCACACATCCACAGGCCTGTGCTGTGTCCCCATAATGGATTTGTGGGGCAGATTTTAAGAAGGCTTAAGCACTAAAAAGCGACTTGCATCACAGACCAAAGAAATTAGGATAATTAATTTTTAGAAAATAATAATTAAATATTTGTTTTTCAAATGCATGTCAGTAGAAGCTCCTATAGTGTGCTGTTACTTCATGTAAAATCCAAAAGCCGTTTTAAGCCACCATTCTTGAAAGTAGGGGCTAAGAATTCCTATAAATAATATGCAACTTAAAGATGTAGGGAACTCCTTTATTATGTGCTAAATGCTGTAATAAACCAGGCTATCCGTAGGTTTTGCTGCATGTTACTAATTTTCTTTTTTTTTTTTTTATCCCGATATTTTTGCAGGTGTGTGGAGGAACAGGTCCTGTTCTCGCTGTTGTTACTCCCACATAGGCGGACTCTGTAATTGATTATGTGTGGGTAGGGCCTTATTGAAATTCAGGAGATGCTGCAGTAGTGCAGGGTTCTGGTTGTGAAAGTTCAGTTGCAAGATCAGGACCCTACTGTGACTCCTTACTGTGAATTCTGTCAGTGTATCATTGATTGTGCTGGAACCTGCCTTTTGGGATAATGTAAGTCCTGCTTTTCTCCCAAATGTACTTTAGACATGAAATAATCATAAAACATTTCTAATTAGAAAATTAATATCATTTACATGCATTCTTTTAATTATGTTTTTTTGGCAGTACCAAATAATATATTCCTCAAAACTTCTTAATGGCACTGAGGCTTTGTGGATAGTTGGTCACATGATGAGAAAATTCAGCTGTAAGTACATTGAAATGATTGAATTTTTCAATAGTTAGTTTTTGCTGATGTTGACAGACTAATAATGATAAAAAGGTGAATCAAGAGGTGTGACTTATGACTTCAATTATTCTTATAAAAATCATACAGTATATCCATTAAAGATTTCATTATACTTGGGTAATTTACCACGTGAACCTGGAGTCCTTCCGTACTGCTATTAGGTGGGGAGTTTTAATTTGTTTTCTTTATTTTCAGAATAATGTGCCTCTGATTTGCTCTGTATTTTCACCCATAAACTGTTTATACCACCAATATATGTGTAGATACTGCAAACCAATTTACTAACATAATTGTCTTGCTGACTCAAACACTGAAATGTTAATAAATACACACTTGTGTCAATGTAACTTGGTTAAATTAAACTAAACCGAGCTGGCATTATGAGTGAATTTGATCATGAGTGCTGATTAGCTATAGTCTCAGGCAGGACCTACTTATTTTATTCTACCTAAGTACTTTGTGCTTAACCAATAACAATTACCCATATCATATGTCAGTGGAATCACCCCCAATAGCTATAAATATCTATGCTTGGATTAAGGAGGAAGTTGTTTTCTTGTAGTTATGGGTACAGTCATTGCTATGGCTCCTATTTTTATATACAAATGAACAAAACCTACACGTAGGTGTTTTCCCTGAGTAACAAAAGGGGTATTATAAACTGTGTGCTGTTTTTTATGATGCTGTATTTCCTTTCTGGTATTCAAATACAAGAACGTTCTCAATGGGGTCTTATAATCTGAGAAATGGAAGAACTGCAAATGTTACTGAATCTGTGAATAATTATTAAGGGGCTCCTCTGAGGTCTAGAGGTGTTGTATGTAAGGACAATTAGGAGTTCTTTCCCATGGAGCATGGACACAGATAAAGATTAAGGAGAACAGGATTATTTTTTGTATTTGCTTGGCACAAGAGCAACAAAGTAATTTCAAGAAAGAGCAAGACTAAAGAAGAAATCCTAAACTCAGATCAAAAGCAGACTAGAGAGTTCAGTTAAAAAAAAACAAACCCAGACCCAAACAACAAAACAAAACCAGAAAATGGATGGCAAAAATATGCCTGAAAGGAAAACAAAATGCACAGCTACTGGTATTTCTCATTGCACTGAATATATGGCAGAGTTAAGTTTGAAACTTTCAGTAAGTGTTTTTCTCTAAATTTTTTTTCTGTGGGAGGGGAGTTTATGGGCTTCGAAGAAGACTCCGTGGCTAGTCATGAGTCACCTGTGTAAACGGGGCATTCAAGAGGACAGCTGTAACTGAGACCAGAGGGCAGTGGATTGTCTGTGCTGAACTACAGATAGTGCCAAGCAGAACCATAATTTCTTGTTCAAACACAGAACTTAATGATTCTGGAATTTATCACCTTCAACAGAGCTCAAAGCACAGTCTCATTATGTTTGTTACAAGAAGGGAATCTTCTAGTTTAAAACTGAACCGTGATTCTTCTGTGATTTTTCAGTATAAAATGAAATTGAGACTTTTCGGTATGAAATTAAATCAAGATTTGAGAACACTGGATGTTTCATTTTACATTAAAAAAAATCTCAGATCGGCATATTTTGGTTTTAAAATGTTTAGACCTAATGTTTTCTTCTTTTCACCTTTTAATTCTATTTGTCCGTATTTAATCTTACTTGCACAAAGTTGGGTTGGTGAAAGGAGAGTGAAATGAGGTGATTGCAAAATAACCCAGACATGGCCCTCTATCCATGCCCATCCCACCCCAAACCAGATCAAAAGAAGTGCCCTGGAATAGATCTAGTGTCAGAGGAGAAAAAGGAGGGAAGCGATGTGCTAGTAAGTGGGGTATGAGGAATCCCCTGGATGTTTTGTATGTATCCATGTAGCCAGTTTCTTCACTCATCACCAGTGAGAGGCAGATCACCTAGGTGTGACTGCTTCTTCCTGTGATGGCAACTTCCCAGTACTTGAGAGAGATACTGTTGCAGCACAGTGCTCCTACAAATATTATTTGGAAGAAAACGAACTCTTAATTGTAACCTGCTTTCCACTACTCACTGCTGCTAACCCCCATTGTTGAGCACCTGATCTGATTGTTTCTTTGGTTTAACGCACGCTGTGATGCCGTCAGTGACTGAAATTAGGAGAACAGCAAGAAAGCAGATGTCGAGAAGGAGTTGGTGTTGTGGAATGTAGGGAGTGGACATTTGCTACAGAGCTACACATTGTGTGGGCTTGGGAATACTTCAAGAGCTGGAATACCCAACTACAGCAACAGAGAGTAAGTTGCCTTTAGTGTCAGACCTAGGGGAGCGCCCTGGTTCTGTGCGCTAAGAAGGAGGAGCAAAGGAACGTGCCTGAACATTTAGCGTGTTAGTTGTTGTAAGTGTAAGTTGTGAGATCCTTTTCTCTGCTGCTCCTTGCGCTTGGCTTGTATCGTAATTGTCCTGTCTTCAAGCTGGATGTAGCATGTTTTTGTTCACATTGAATGAGGCACCCATCATATTCTCATGTCATGAACGTTATTTTTCTTCACCCCTTGGAAGTCAAAGTGTGGTAGCGTAGATAGCTGTAATAAGTCAGTAGTAAATGTGACATGAAAGAATTTTCTCATTTCCCAGTATTTACAGGAAAAACTGTTTTATGGGTTTCATATACCTGCTCCCATCTTCTTTTCCACTTCTAAGCAGATCTAGTGCATGAAAATTTTCTTCAGTATTGCTCTCAGTTCTTTATTTCCAGTTACAGCTATTGGTCTTTTGTTAGTGGGTTTTTTTCGTATTTAGGTTGAGGCTCTCACAAAACTTCTCTGCATCCTCTATGAATGACACCGTCATGCTGTTGTTTGTTCTAATTCACCACATCTAGGCTAAATCTGAGTTTTGGGAGTCTTTTTCCAACCCCTTAAGAATGGTCTTTCTTCTCTGTCAGACAATTATGTTTTTCATCCAGGTTTTCCATGGATTATGACTTTATTAGGAAATCTTTTTCTTTTGTCTTGACAAATGGAGTTTTGCCATGCTCGTTACATAGTCAAAGTGCTACTCTGCTGTAAATACCAGTTTCCAAGCCTAGTCCTTTCGTATTTTCCTTCAGTTTAAAGCAATAAAGGTGAGCTATCTGTCTCTTATTTTCAAGGCCCATCAAGACCACTTTTACCTGATACCTCTCCTTCAGTATCAAGAGATTGACTCTGGTTTTGATCAACATACAATGCCAGCTTTTCCATCATTCAGTCATTAGATTTTCGGACCACACTGGGTATCTTGTTGCCCAGAGAAGCTGTAGATGCCCCATCCCTGGCTGTCTTCAGGGCCAAGCTGGGTGAGGCTTTGAGCACCCTGGTCTAGTGGAAGGTGTCCCTGCCCATGGCAGGGGGGTTGGAACTAGATGGTCTTTAAGGTCCCTTCCAACCCAAACCATCCTATGGTTCTGTGATTTTTCTCCTCAGCTGCCTCTCATGTATTGGTTGACTTCTTCATAAACAGAACTGGCCACAATCTTCCTTTAAATATCTTTAATTTCTCTGTTGTCTCTTTATGTAGAATTCAAGCACGTAGACTTTTTGGTGTGTGTTCATTCATGGCCAGCATAATGAGAAGTGGTCCAGGGTGAAGCCTCCCAAAAGATATGGTAATACAAATAAAGAATAATGAATACGCGCTGGATACTGCAGTGTAGCTGTTGGATTCTGCTGTGCCAAATGTCCACATCATATTCAATGCAGAAAGAAGGTGCTCCAACTAGAGGCTTCACAAAAGGGAAAGAAGTAGTGAATTGTAGCCAACAGATAAAATTCTAGCCCCAGAGGCCTCCTCAAGGGTCAAACCCCAGTCAATAGCTACTGGCATTGTGTCCTTGCTCTTCTCCGCAGCAGTAAAAACAGACTGCCCCTTCTCATAGAAGGAACTAAATGCAAATATTACAAAGTTCTGAGGTGTGTGCAGAAGGTTAAAGGACTTTTTATACTTCCATAGTGTCCTTCTGCTCCTTAGTGCATTCCCTTCCTGACACAGCATCTCTTGGTACAGAATCTTGAATAACCACAAGCAGTTCTTCCAGCTATACTGTTGGTCAGTCCTTCTTCAGATGCCATGTGATCTCTGTAGAGGAGGAACCTACCCTAGTTGTGATTTCGTATCTTGGTACGTTGCTATCTCATAGTGCTCCGTTTTCCTTGTGCCTTGAAGGTAATGATTCTTCAAAAGAATGGTAAGAATGAATTCCGTCAGGAATTCCCCAGGTATGTCACCCTCTTTCTGGAAGTGGGTCTGCATGTATCCCTTCTCTTTCTTTCAAAGGGTCACTGAAATGGCCGTGAATAGGTTATACAGAGATGATCAAATGTATAGTGCCTAGCTGATACAGAGGTGGTAGATTGGAGTATACAGAAAAATGGCACTGTATGTGCCAAAGAAAACATGGTTAATTTTATCAGAATAAACCACAAAACCTAATTACAAAGAGTTCTGTATCTGAATAGGAGACATTTATTAAGAGCTTGGGACTAGTTGATGGGATGGAGACAGTGACTGAAATACTCTGTGAGGCTGGAGAGGCTATACAGCCTGAAAGCTTGATCATAACAACAGTTCTTGGTTATTTATATATAGACTGAATAAACTTAACATTAGGCCATTGTGCACGGGCTGTAATTTTAGTTATCATCAAGAAGTGCTTTTTGAGCAAACCAGCTTGAGAATCTAGAAGCTCTTGATTTAGTCTAGATTAGCACACAAGGAGTGACAACAGAAGAGCCATTTGGTACTGATACATCGTACTCAAAGTTTCTCGTACTTGTAGGAGAGAAAAGGATCAAACCAAAAAAAAAGTCCAGCATTGTTTAAAGCATAATTGCATACAAATCAAGATACAGTTTAAATAAATATTGAAAGAGACACAAGGACTTTGCTTTCTGATTCTAACCCAGCTGAATTAGAATTGTCCAAAACAACTGAACAGTAAAGGAAGTTACTAGAAGTACATAGAGGATTTTAAAAAAGTGAAATCCAAGCAGGGAAAGCAGAAAAGAGCACAATTCTGGCAAGTTAAATGTAGACGTATTATAAGGCAGAACAAAAAGATTTTGAAATACAACAGGCTAAAATCCTAGCTTCCAA